TTTATGTAGACACAAAGATAAGTATCTCCTATTTCCTTCTAACAATTTCTTTTATAAAAATATTTCTTGCAAAGCTAAGATATGAAAAATATATTTGCAAATCTTCAGATTTGCAAAAAAAGTTACGTCAACTATAGTATACCCAGCGACTATAAAAATATCTAATATACGATGTCTAAATTTATGTTCATATTTACTAAGATTATGTCTTTGGCTTTTATGGAATATTATTAACATTATATTTTTATTAAGACCTATATCCTTTTAGCAATGAAAACATAAATATTTATTATTACCTATGCTAAACTCAATAATATTTATTATATGTCACTCATTCACTAACACTCGTATCTATAGTCGACAGAAGTAACTACTTCTGAAAATGTCATAACTTCACTACATAGTATGAAACAAAGTCGCTTTCGTAAAGTGAAGAAGTTTTTAATGCGGTTTTTTTTATAGATAGGGTGATTCAAAAGGAAAGTTTTTATGTAGGTATAATACAAAACCACGCGGGCGAAACCGCTGGCGGAAAGCTAGTAAGCTTATAATTTTAACCATTAGAATGAAGTAAGGACTCTCAGAAGTTAGAATACTATACAAATTCATACTCGGTTATTGGTTAAAAATATATGCTTAATTTATAACATTTTCTTATGTAATTACTTCTTTCGACTATAGATACGAGTGTAAGATTACCTACTGCTTGTATGGAATCAAACGTAGACACAGTATTTGCGACATATGCTGGCGTGATATACTTATGTATTTATAGTGCTTAAGTAATATCAATGCTACAACCAAATGTTACTATGTTTTTTCTATTGGCATAGCATCATTAATAAAAATATACACAATGCACGCAATTTACATTATTCTATTCTCTATATTCATTATTAACAAAGTCTTCTATAAGAAATGATAGAGCTGGATGATAGCACTGTATCAATAGGAGATAAATATTGTGCACTTTTCTGAATCTTCACCCACGATACTTTCTTGTAAAGTTAGCTGAAATATTTTAGTCTTGTCTAGCGTCATATAGAATTCTAGAAAGTATTTTCTATTCAAAATAAATACGACAATAATGTGGTATGTATGTGGTAATCTTCTATATACACCTATAGTATTAGTATATAACAAAGTCGCTTTCCGCTGTCGGCACACCGAGATCTTTTAAATTACGCAACGGATTTTATAGCCATTTTCATCAATATATATAGTGATTCAAGAAGAAGGTTTATATGTGTACAGACAATTGACGCGAGCGAAACCACTGGCGATATAATCTTTTTGAATAAAAATATTTTATCTTTTCATAAATAACATGACGATAACCGGACAACGTTCGATATTCAAATTAAAAATTTTAATTTCTGAATATTAGTACAAAACGAATGAATTTTGTCGCTCGATATATACCCTCTTCACTCTAATCAAACAGTCTATGTTGTCATATAATAACACACGCAGCGATCGTGAAGCCGCTGCCCTGTATATTCAGTTTATGCTTGTCGATTTTCATCTTTCCATTAAAGCAAACTACCTAGAGCCATCTCTTAATGTATACCGTGACACATTAATTACTCTTTTAAATTTATACAATGGATGAATCAGTTAAAACATGATCTTACGAAACATTTACGGCTAGATATTTATTAACACTATTACAATACAGTAAAAAACCCCATCGATAATTTATAAAAAAATATTGAATTTACCTTTACGTTTATTCCATAATGAAAAAGGGTTACAACCTTAATTCAAATAAAAACTGTGGTTTTGGTATACGATTTCTTTTCAAAGTTAGCTATGAGCAAGAAGAATATACTGTTGCTAAGCAATAATTAAATGCATCTGTACCTAAAGAATAGAAAACCCTAACCTTTAGAATTATTAACCGTAAATTAAAAAACCCAGAACTTATATGAAATATATTTAAAACCTTTAATTTGCATAATCCCATTTAATTTCTTATACGTCTCATACATTTTCTGTTAATGTCTAAAAATTTGTTGTTCAGTTCAACTACTTGAGCAAGCAATTTATAGCATTACTGGCATCTGACGGTATACATTGCACATTCAGACGAATAAAAAGTCCATATTACACGCCTCTTGAATTTATAACGTGTACCACATGCAATGCGATAAACAAAAGACATGATAGTAGGCCTGAATTTATTAATATCTTTGTTGGGTATTAATTTCAAGGACCAACTAGTGCCGAAATAGTTTTGAACGGGTATTCTAGTATTGTGTTGATAATTTCATTTGTAAAACAAAATACACAATTTTACTATTATAACAAACAACACAACTTAACTTAGGAGCCGCCTAAATATTAAAAAATCGCCTTATGTGAAAATGCGTAGTGTGATGGATCACAGAAGGTCAAGTACATAATATTATTTGATATGAAATAAGGGTGTAAATTAATTACCTTTCATTATGTAGTAATAAAATTAAACTGCGAACGTCATAGGAAATATTAACTACCTTTGTAAGGAAGTATAAAAATAACCTTGAGCATAAAATAACCATCAAACAGGACATCCGTTTTTGCTAATTTAACAAGAAATGCTATCAAGATTCATCAGCGTACCAACTCGCTTATTTACGCTGATGACTTTGACAGGACAATGGACTACCACCATTTCCGTGCCAATAGTGTGTTGATATTTATTCAAATTGATGCATAGAGTGGGCTGGCTAGTGATTTCTGCATATCAGTATCCATGTCTAGTTAAAGGATACTATACTCGTAATCTCTCCAATCTGCAATCGGACTCTTCATTGTGTTGTATTAAAATATTCAAAGAGAACTATGTAATTATTTGCGATTTAACACTTTCAACGTAATGATAGAAAGAGTAAGTAAATATGCTTACAAATAAATAAATAATTATCGAAAGTCCACTGATTTCGATCGCTTGCACCAAACAAAATACTTTACATATTTACGTACACGCGTTCGATAAAACGAACTGCGTAGACAAACCTCTATGATATAACGTTGTGGTATGGATCAACTACAAGGTACAAATAACTGTAATCGATTATAAAGCTATTGTAGTAATTTGACATAGAGTCGACTATAAATATTAAAGCTGAGTAGGTACAAAATAAAATGCTGTTCGCTTGGACTGGACTGATTAAGCTAATTCTTTCCTATATTCACTGCCATGAAATTATGCTTAGATCGTATTTTCATATAAAATCTAAACATAAAACCGAAACGCGCTGCTTCAATGAAGAACATGCGCCATAACCATAAATAAGGTACGATAATGCACCGTTCGCAATCTCTTCCGCGTTCGCAAATCGAGCCCCTAAATAATACACCGCGTGCTTCGCAACCGATAGATAAAATTTATCTATAGCAAATAACCTAACAATCTGGTGGTTGTAAGTACCGTAAAACGCGATTATATGTTACTATGACAGTTGATAGTGCATTAAACGATTTTAATAATAACATTTGGACATATAGGTACGACATATATCTTACCAAGAATTCGTCCACATTCTTGATAAGATATATGTATGTCGTAGGATAAGACATTATGGGATACTTAAGACAAAATTGATATTTTTGTCACTCAGACCGCACAATAGGGATAGTGACATTTTTTTTATCTAACGAACTAATAAATTAGACACGTATTTTAAATTTTTGCGTAATCAATAAATTATGGCGATACGTTGAGTTGAAATGTCGCATGACGTCACGCTTTTGTACGTTTTCCACAAAACTGTGACGTAGTGAGCCCCCACTTCTCAACTTTAACGCTTATGAACTTTGCTACTTATCGCGTCTCAGAAGTGCCACCACGCAGTCCCCATGCGGATTGATGTCAACGGAAATAAAATTTTGATCATCCATCCTAATTATGACCGTTGCGAAAATTGCTTAATTACTGCATTATAGACGCATTACAATATAATATAGAATAGAATAAAGCACCATAAACTAAAAACATTAAACCTCATTAAAATATCTTTGTGTATCATATTTAGCTTAAGTTCAATTAAATTAGCAAACTCACCGTCTGCCTAAAACTATGTTGAAAACACTAAATTAATAGCAATATAAAGTAATATAATGTAACCACCACTGATTTTCTTTATAGACATGCACCCGCACCACGGGCTGTACAAACTTGTAATACTTTTATTACATAGTACTATTCACTATTATACCATCATCAATGCTACTGGTTCCTCAAATAGAATAAGAAAACATTGAATTAATTCGTTTCACATAATGCCTTTGATATATTGTTCTAGAACAAACAAAAATTGTGTATTCAAGTCGAAATTTGAGCTGTTAGGAATAGCATGATTTTTTTGACATGCATCAACTTAATAGATTTGGCAATTTAATGTTATTTTTTTAACTATACAAATAGAAAAAATATTTTTTCAAGATATTTTACGAAAGTTTAACTTCGTTTTCTAAAGAATTTAGCGAAAAAAAAAAACATTAATACGACTTTATACTACACAAGTTAACGATGCAGTGGTTTTATGTATGAACATAAATTCTATAAAAAATATTAATAAGATAAAGATGTCATTCCAGTCCGTTAGCCCGGAAATGCCGGCGTAGACGCAGAGGTAAAAACGTTGTAAGCCAATCGCTTACTTTTTATTACATTCGTAACAATGTCTTCTTAAGAAAAGTCAATTAGCTTTAACTTACTGCTTTATAACGATAAAGTAACTTCTTGGAGTATAGATCACGGATTTATAGTAGGCTTTTTACATTACTCGTAGTTTTCTAATTTGCACTGCACATTTTCTCTTCGTATTGGTTATTTTTCACACTGACAATCCATACCCAAAAACAAATCTATTTTATCAACTATAAAATTTGCTTAAAGAAATTCCTCAAAACAATATCGAAAGATTATAACGAAATTGTTTATGGGTGTTGTTAGACTAACACACAGGTGAATGACAGATGTAGAGCAACTATAAAAAAATTAAACTACTCACTTTCGCAGAAGTTTTCGAAGTATTTCCCGATAGGTTCTCCGTCATCGATAAGAGGTCGCTCTGCGTTAAGATAAGCCGAAGGTCCATCTGGTAGCGTATGGTGATCCAAATGATACAAGCGGCAGTTGTAGGCAGTCGAGTGAGGCGCACCCAAGTATAGGTACGATCGACATAGGAATTCTGATTCGATCTCGCAAGCCAGGCGACAGGCTGAATCGGAAGTCACCTAACGAAAAAGTTATGGAAAAAGGTTTACTAACTCTGTAATATGACACTTCTCAATGATACTAGTTAATACTTGTTTATTCATTTAAAACAATACAGGTATAGAGTAAATAACATATGGTATGGGTAAATGGCTGTAGTAAACCCTCATCCGGCGATAAGGGAAAAGCGTTCATTACTAATATTCCTATTACAGCAAACAACCATGGTCCATTTATGTCCTAAACAAGCGACGCTATTGATAATTAAAATTCCAGAGATGTAGTCATAAATTTATCATAATAATACAGTAGCAATAAGTAATAAAAATAAAATAACATATTAGCAAAATAAATGGACGGTCTTGCGAGCACCATAGAATACTTCAGTTCAGTGACTCATCATCGGCGAGGGCAAATTATTGAAGTTGGACCAATGATGTTTGTTCAGTAGAGTTATTTTTAAATTACTCGCTAAGGAAGGTTTTTCGGAAATCCGTAAGTAGGTGAAATAGATGTTCAAAATTCAAAGTTCGTAATTCATGAAGTTGGAAACATGAAACTTTATTTTAAATCTACTAATTAAAAAACTGTGTTTGTGGAAATTTTATCCCTAGGGGGGGAGATACGTATGAATTAAAAGATTATATGGAAATCATTAAAGCCACTGGCGGTAAGCTAGTATTATTATATATGTACACAATCCTGAATATAAAGTGAGTACCAATGACAGCTTGTTATTAATCTTTTTTATTAATCTCGAATTGGATCTGCCTTAAAAATGATAATAGTAACTCTTACCTCGCGCCTATAATTGCATTCACATTGCAATTTTATGTCCATCACATGTTACATTGCTATTTCTTAGTTGATATGTTTCAATTTGCTTCAGGCAAATTTAAAATAAGAACGTAGAAAACTTTTTTGTGCTGTGTGCTTACTAGCAGTTTTATTTTCTATCTTGTGATTTTTTTAAACAAATAATACAAAGTTGCAGTATTGTCTTGACGTGACTTGACTTGAAAATATGGCAGATGACCCGGTTTCGGTCACAGGCGTCCTTTTAGCCAAAAACTGGCAAATATTACTTTTTCGTACACGGTTTTTAACATATTGAATTATGGCTAAGGTTTACCATAGCCAGCTAAATATTATACAATATATAAAAGTTCATTTCATCCTTACTTTTAAAATGCCCAACATCGGGCTATCTTTATTTACCTGGATTTAATGATAAATGATGATGTCTAGATTGCTGATTCGTAATTCTTAAAGTTTACAAAAACTACTCAATATATTTTTAAGGGGACAAATTTGAGAATACACCTTTCCAAATAAAAAAGAACCATACTGTGGTATATGGAAAATTTTGGTGTCCAAGTCCTATAACAAGTTCGTTTGCCCGATTTAGGTCTCGTGTATTTCTTTACCAACCAAAAAACAACATCAAAGTCGATTTACTATTAACTATGTAGTAAGGTTATATTATCATAAAGAAAGTTCCAACATGTTGAATCGTAAACCTCCACGTTTTTAAACTTGGTTAAAACATAGATATAATTAAAACAAACCTGCAGTTCCTTATCCGTGTAATAGTGTAATCCCGCATATTGTGCCACTTTATCCTCAGCGACGCCGACACGAGGCGCAGTGAATATACGATGGTTCTTGCACGCTTGTGACGCCTTCAGGCACAGATTCTAGACCACACAAGCACAATCAGACAAAATAACAGCTGTTCACACGTAATATTCAACATAGATCTTTATTTACAACTACTCAAACGCCGCAGTTAAATTACAATTGTTTGCAAAATTGTTCGTACTCGGAAGCGATGGCGGCATTGTAAAGTGTGGATTCTAAGCAAAATAAGAACGCAACTCGTGTTATTATAATACTAGTTATGTCAATACAATTAAAAATGGTTTCTCGGTAACAATAGGGTTTCGTTAAAATATAATAGCTCATTAAATAAAACGAAATTATGTAGAATCTTCATACTTTATATCATTCCATCAAACAAAATGTACAATCCAACAATTCATAAGTCGTTGACCCAATATTATTTAAGAAAAAAATATTAAATCTATTAATATTACCTCAAAATAGTCGGTGCCAGGTGTATCAACAAGTTGCACGATATGCTGAGCAGTGCGACGATCAGAATCACTGAGCGCACACCGCATGCTACCGTACTCATATTCAGCTGATCGGCACGGGAATCGCTTCTAACAAGACACATTAAAAACTTTTTAAGGTAAAGCCCATAAATATTCGTGCTATTCAAGAAAGGATAAGGCAGTTTAAGCCATTAAGCGCATTATATTTGCACCATAAAGTGACTAAGAGTAGTTCACGACATGATCACAAGATAGCGTCGAAGCCGAGAGCTTTGCTGTCTAGTGAAATTTAATGCGCATTCCATTTAATAATGGCTATTTAAGGAGAACCGCTTGTTCTATATACATAAAAATGATTTAATACTTGTAATGATACAAACCAAGGCTAAATTATGTTTTTAGTTATAAGAGGAACTGGTTTTCATACTACTTATTTATGTGACTGACCTACCACAATCTCCTTTAAATATTTCTTGGACAGAAAATCTAATTTTTAAACTGTCATAGATAAAAAAAGGTTTGTAGATATTTCATATTTATCAATACCTCAAAAAGTAGTTATTATTTTCTCAAATTGAAATTCTATTTTCCATACATTGATTGATCTATCACATACTTTTTTACCACCATTAGTGACAATTTACGTTAGTTTTTGCTTAAAATACAATAATATTTCATCTGGAGGCCAGGGAGATTCTTAGTTTTTAATATGTTTTGAACTATCATAACTCTCTCAAGATAATTATGAAGTAACTATAAAAATTGACGCATTGAAATAAAAGGATTTAAGGATTTTTAATTAATAAGAACATTTGAGCATATATATAATTGTAATAAAGATGAAAAGCAGAAATAAGCAAGAAATATTATTTCTAAAACTATGGTTTATTTAAAACGAAATGGCAAACTTATACGAACAATTCTATCGAAAACTAAAAACAATGACGTGCTAAGCTATATTGTTACCCCAGTAACCATGGCCATACTATGTATCCAGCCATAGAATGCGGACGTTATAAACATGCCCCTATCATTTTACCTATATCTTAAATATAGCAGTTAACTAGGACGAAACCATAAAACATAAATTGAATAGATAAACGGTAAATTGCTATGCGGAGTTAAAACCGTTTACAACTAATTTACTGAACTTGGTAGTCAATAATGATTTTATTACAAAATTAAACGCAGTTCTTAACATTATGTTAAGACAATTCCATATATAAATGTTTATGTTAAATGTGAGTTGTATAAATGTTGTACGCTCATGAAAAAGACAGGATTTTGATCAAGATCCGGAAGATGATAAAAAAATTGACTAGTTTTTTTTTTATGAAAAACTTAACACCTTTTAACTATTTGTAATATTTTCTTTATCTTTTAAAAATGTATAACGCGTTCAGTCTCGGTTACTTAAAATAATCGATTTATTATAGAATGTTTCTATAAAATATACGTAACTATACATAATAATATTGAAGTACAAGTTGACTGTAACGAGCTCATAATACTACTCCTACTATCTTTATACTCTCCAATAGATTACTTTATATCTTTCAAGTCAGAAAATAACCCTCAATCGATACCTCATTAAGACAAGCAGCAAGACACGCCTCCTTGGTTGACGTGTAGATGATGACGTTGTCGAGACCCCGCAAGGCCTTACCAGGCACACGCTCGAAGGCCCAAGGCCTCAAACATACGCTCTCTGTTCTTACTTGCAGTTTCACCATGTAGTATGTATTCACCGCTCGCTGCCAACAAACATATTGTAAATAATGTAGGTATAAGTAGTCATAGTAGGTGTATCCTACTTGATTTATAATAAACGGCAATATGCTACCGGCCAGCCATCGTGTGTTTAATTTGTCTTACGTATTCGAACGTATTCATAATATTAGTCTATATAAAAAAAAAATTTGATCGCCACGACATTTCAATCCAGACACCGTTTCAATTGACCGTTTCTGTTCAGTTCCGATATTTTTTTTAACGACTGTATTTAAAAGAGATAAAATGATTTTCGAAGATCGTTGAAGATTTTCTTAACTTTAACTTTTATACAATTCTTTTAATTAACAATTTATCAATTAAAGTAACCCTCTTACTATCTCACTTATGCCTATTTTCACTAAACTTAGGAGTCGCCCAAATCTGTCGCCTAAATGTTTAGGAATCGCCTAAGGTTAAAATGCATTTCACCATAGACTAGGAACCTCCTTATAAAATTAAGCAATGTCTTAAGTTATGATATTCGATAAGCGGCACCTTGCGCTAGGCGTTTGTTTATAGGACAGGTCACAAATATGTCAAGGGATAAAAAAAATATTTATTTGGAATTAAACACATCTGCTTAGGCGATTCGTAAGTTTAAGCGTTTCCTTGTTAAGCTATGCCTCATTCTTGGTTAGTGAAAACCGAGGCTAGCATTACCGGTTGAAACATACCTACGTATAGCTGTTTGAATTGGATAACTACGTTATAAATTATCTCTAAATTGCAAATTTACAAAGGTCGTAAGAATCAGCAATAATTCCATGATTAAGATTAATGAATATTTATCTAGAGAACGATAATTCTTCGGTTATTACCTTTCCATTGTTCAAAACCAGGTAAGTTTCTAATAGAAAGAAGATTTATGATTGGATTGTTTTGATTTGTTTAATGCCTCTTTTCATTTGTATAGTGAAAGTCAAATAGCTTCAATATGATACGCTGCTAATGTTGACGATAAAACTTTCAAATTCCATTTATTGCAAATAAAGCATGTGTACTATATTTTTATAAGTTATTGTAAATGTTTGTTGGTTTAATGTAAATAAGTTGTTCATGTTTTCTATTTTCACGTTAGTTGAAACTGAAATCCTGCAAAAAAACACGACGTTCGAAGAATATGTAATTATATAAATATTTCTGTTTATACTGTCTGTTCTTTAAATAAATATACAGTTTAAGAACATTTGTCTACTATTGCTAGTGTATTATTTATTACACAGTTAATTTTATTCAGAAATCTTATAGCCATCACCTGTAACTTTCCATAAATTATATTAATAGTAATGCAAAATTTATCAAAATAATAGCTAAAGCTGACTATACTAAGTTTACAACCATCCTAACATCATACTAGATCACGTAGTGTAAGCAAAGACAAGAATTATGAATAACTTCTTTTAACTATCATGATATCGTAGACAATTTCCTGCTTCGTTCTACTTCAACGTGTTATTTTAATATAACCGTTTATTTAAACTAAAAACGAGTAATACGGTCTTATAAACGAACGGCACAGTTAGAACTTGCATTCAAGCTTTGGAATAACCATGCAGTGACTGACTGATTTAATCTGAATTGTTAATTCTATCTCAGATTTAATTGGCAGTATCGGTAGAATGCTAGAGATTGCAAACTAGGATAAATACGAGTACATTTAGAATTTAGACAACACCATAAAGTAGAATTACATAGACCATGTGGAAATTCATCTATTATCAAATATTATTTTTCAGTTTACTTAATAAAAATAAATATATTACTTTTTATTCATTCTACGTAGTTGTCATGAAAAATCTCCTATAAACAACGGTAACAATAAAAGCAAGTTAATGAAAACAAACTAACGCATATATTAAAACAGTTTATTTGAATACGGTTAGCATACATTATAGCTGTCGTTCTGAACTTTTGCTTTCATTAGCTATTATTGCTAACACGCACTTAATAATAATATAAGATTGGAATAAATTTGTCAATAAAAGTTTTTGTTTTGTATAAAAATATTTTAGTGCTCTTAAAAAAAACTTGTTTTCAAATTAATAATAATTTTACTTCTATTTATTATTATGTTTTCGTATATTTTTAGCAAACTCTTTATATAATTTTCATATTGTGCAGTCTGAAATAATAGATTGAAATTAATGTCTTAGATAACCATGCATTATCATCTAAACTAAACCGGCATGCAAAATTCCAAAGTTCGAGGATAAACGCTTTAAAATTCAGTCGCAAGATTTGGCTAATATACATTACTGCAATAAAAGCTTATGTTTTATAATTTGTTTTATATAACTGCAGTGTATCACCACACCTTATCGCTTACGCTATACTGAATTCATTACGTTATCTGGACGTTTTGTATTGTCTGAATCAGAAAATTTTCTTGTTTTCGTATGTTAACAAAACTACGGTACAATGCAAATCTAATAGATGTTCCATCAAACGTTATACGATTGATAGAGACGCTGAAAGGTATGAAAGATAGATCATCCTTCGAGTATGCAAGACTGAATCTTATATCATATAATAGAGACTTAAAAAAGCGTCGAAATATCGGAATCTTGTAATATGTAAGGTACATGGTAGAAATCGCGTTTTTAGCAACGTTCAAAACCAATACTGTTAACATGTGTGATGTGTCAAAGGTCACTTCCTCGTAACTCTTAAAATGGCCAAAACCGGATCATGTAAATTATATTAATTTACCTGAGGTGTAGCCATAGGGTTGTTAGCTTGGGTGTCATTCTGCAGTAGACACCGAGTCTCTTGCACCGGAGTTAACGGGTTCAACACGAAACTGTAACAATATACAAATATGTTAATTTCGAACACAAAAACACCATGGCGGTAGTTCTCATCAGAAGCTCGACGCCGCGGTCTGCGAAATGATCATTAAGCAACTTTCGTAAGGATCGGCCATACATAGAATGGGTGATCAAATTTTATTATCTAGAGCAAGAGTGGGCAAATATTTGATATTCGGGCCACATTGTACTGTAAATATTTGCTTGTATTCATGTTTTTCTTTGTGGTGTACAATGAAGTGTTTATTCATTCATTAATTCATTCACATTGCAGATAAAAAATTGACCTCGAGCCAAACAGTGTTTTTCATATAGTAGACAAGTCGATTAAACGTTACTTGGAATCGCAACAATAAATTACAACGGACAAAAAGCCGCTGTTTTTTTTAACTTTATATGTTCAGACTCTTCGAATTGAAAAATATGTTAAACCAATACATCAGTTTTAGTTTCATTATTTCTTTAGTGTTTGACAATGCATGCGCCCTCGATTCATCTATATCTGCTTTTATTTCGTTTAATTTTCGGCGTATATAATTATTTATTTTTCTCCAAATTAAAATTAATATAAAACAACTTCCATTCTACTTTATAGCAGGAGAAAATGGAAGCTTTAGATAACACAATTGTGCGACTATTGTGCATACTGTAATTGTTCAATTATCATAATTAAATTTTTTGCGAATAGGAAGCGCTGAAAAGAGCGGTTTTCCGAGAGAAAATTTTGGCTCCCACCGGCACTGATAATGTGTATGTATTGCTTAATATTTGATCAAAACTTTTTTTGCGTTTTTAATAATAATATATACAATGCTTCAGGGGCCAGACAAAATTCTACCACGGGCCGCCATTTGCCCAGGCCTGCTCTAGAGGTTTCAGAAGGCACGTTAAACAGTAGGGTTTGGCTGCATCTGCAGCTGGCACTGGGCTCGCGTAGTGGGTCATGACCCATTCTCTCGCCCTACTCAATTTGGGTCGATACCATCCATTGAGAAGGCTTGAGCCCCAGCAATAAAGACATTAATAGGCTCATAGTTCTGTATCAGCTGTCGACAAAACAATGAACGGTTTCACATAAAGCTGGAACTATATTCCCTTCTTAAGTAAAATTTTACTTTACCGCACGCCAACATAGTTGATAAATAAAGATGTTTCAACTATTAACGCCACTTGCCATTAAATTTTTCATTACTTTAAAGCGACATTACTCTTACAAATTTGACATTAATCATTAAACCTAATGGACGTTTGTGCAACTGATCATTAGAGTAGCCGGATAAGTAAGTACCCACTTAAAGAGAAACTATGTTGTTACATTTTTATTTTGTTTCCGCAATCTTTTGTTTGTATAGAAAGTAGTGATGTTCATTCAAATCTTTCGAAATAAAAATAAACATTATAGCCATTCTTTGGTCACATAGGAAAGAATCATACAATTCAAATATAACAAATGCAGTAAGCGGTATCTGGATTTCTTGATAATAAAGCGAATACGAATAACACAGATATTATAGTTCGACACACCTAACATAGAAAGTATAAAGTAATTTATCGCGGCCACGAATACAAAAGGCAATAAAATGATAATTGCAACGAAACAACAATTTCACTGAACTGAATGAAAAAAAAACACACCGCCGATTAATGCGTTTCTGTGAGTACGTTGGTTACGAAGATTTTTTAAATCAGGTTTATTAAAAAAAGCGCAATACTTTCACAATTCGGTTTCATCTGCTACAAACTTTTTTACTTAGTGTTCTAGAAAAGAATATTGGACATACCACATTATATTTATATCGTACAAATAAATTATTTTCTCATAAGAGCCAAGACTCAATATATATGTATTAGTATACATTCCATAAGTAGTCCAAGCATCCCACGTTCCTGTAGGTTACAAAACTCAATTTCAATTCAGATTAAATGACAAAAAGTATCCTAAGTATAAGTATATTAATATTCATTGTAATAATTGTTTTATATTTTTGTTCATTATGTTGACTTGAAAAACGCTGTATGTATTTAATTGGCAAGACTTATTTAAACAAATATATAGTAAACTTATCCCGCAATTACAATTACTTTAAAGTTATTTTAGCATAAAAACTATTGTGATCGTGCTAGAACATAAATCATTCTTCTATTGCACAGGATCATAAGTTATAATGAGCCATCTATGAATGTATAGGTCTGGATCTAAAGAATATATCATTATGTGGGACAGCATATGGAATGTCTTATTTCCCATGGTGTTTGTTTTGCGAATACTTTTTTTTATTAAACTCTAAGAAAAATAACTTTTATCACAATTAAATTTTAAACGACAATGCTACATCAAATGCCCATTAGTCCGTGCGATTTATTTTTCAGATAAGGAAACTTTGTCTATACTTTTTAATAATATTGGTAACGATCATGTAATGAGAATATTGATAATGTACCCATAATAATGGGGCTGAGACTTTTGAACCGTTAAAAAAATGGAAGCACTATAATACATATAATAATAAGAAAATCTATTTAAGGTGTAACCTCATAATAAGTAATTTTGGAATCGGCAGTCATACGACTAAAACCAAATTAAGCGCTGTATTATTTAAGAAAGAAAGCACCTAAATTTCAAAAAGTTTATATATCTTAACTAGTGTTTCACAGATACCAGTTTGAATATAAAATAGATCGTTGCACCAGGAAGGAGCCACTACCGCAGAAGCCGGCAACGGAACGCCGCTATCAGCTGAGCGAACCCACAACATGACTCATGGAAATAAAATATCTCAAGGTTCATTTATGCGAACTCACGCAAACTGCGAAATGAGGAAAGTTTATGCACTGATGTTTTCACCTAATCTACTTAAATTGTGCCTATCGAACTTTCGAGCACTTTCATTTGGACTCTAGTGATTTTTATAATTTTTTCGTTTATTAGTTCATTTACTACGTTTTATATAACCTACCTGCCTATACTAGTAGATAGCTAATCGAACTCTTAATATTTCTTTAACGCCCGGCCTTACATATTTGGCAACAGTCCTATGCTGCAACCACCGGTCTTTATTATTCTAAGTTCTCTTTTACTCCAATTCTCTCAGTTGCATATATGTATCTTTCGTTTCGCATACTTTACCTTTCTTTCATTTTTTCTGTTACATTTCTCGAACGGCATCTACACCTATTCCTACTCTAGTTTTATTCTTTTTTATTAATAATTACACTGGACCTTCTTTATTTCAAGATGGATTTATACGTGCTGTATGTTTTACTTCTTTTACATTTGTTGTTATTACATTTCCTTTACTTATATCTAACTATTTCTATAGATTTTAATATAACTCTTTATTTAGTCTTATCCTAATAATCAATATTCTAATAACTCTTAATAATTTCCTACTAACAAGTTTTTTTTAATAATGTTATAGTTTTGCAAGCTTTTAATTAAATTGACGTCTTAGTTCGTTTAGATTGGGTCAAGTCTTAAGAAGTTAAGTTCCCCACATCCCGCTTTTTGATTGAGCTGAATTCACATTTTGCGAACATATAACACTTTGATAATAATGTTATTGACATATTATGACGCAATGGAAGTAAATTAATGATATAGCAGGAAAGTAACCATGGGATCTGTAATCTGGATTTCTGTAGGTCTACTTACAGTTTAATTCATTATTTTATTGTTTCCATAACATAATTACGTATAAGCATGGGATATAAGCGTATGATCTACGTTTAAACAGAGTATATAAACTTATTACAATAAAACACCACTTACATCAATGTCATGCTTTAAATCAATAGTTTATTTTCCACTGAACGTGATTTCATTAGATAGTTTATTATAAGAGTCATAGAAAATATCTACATAATCGCAATTGATTGATTTGTTGATTTAATTTTATTTAAGTTAAATACACATGTTGATTGCTATATCCTTAAACGCATTTGTATAAAATAACTTTCAGATTAATTATAGTAGCCCCAAGGCACTAATCAAACTCACATAGAAACATAATTAAAGCAAAACGGTTTTAAATAATCTATTGACAAGACACCATAATCATAAAGTAGTAATAGTTTGCGTAGATTAACATTAATTAACTTCCTTGTTTAAAAACAAATGATGAGCTAAAGCTCATGATGATTTGATTAATGAACTTTTTATTATTACTTTGTTGACTTTGACTTTGTATGAGCTTGCAATTGAAAAGTAATTTTTCCTAATTCCTTTATTCGATGTAAATTCCATAATCTAAGGCCCCTTGTTTTTTAAATCTTGAGTGATTATAAACCAATTGTGAATAGAATACGTCTTAAATGTTGTATAGAATAGAAAATCTTTTATTGTTAACATTACACAAGTTACATTTACAAATTTAAAACAGCTTTACTAAATTATGTTTATTTTATTGTTTATTAAATTGTTACTAAGCTTTATTTAAAATATTTTTTAATTTTGACCAGAGAAATAAATATTTTTTAAGAGGCGAACTTTGAAAAAAATCATTTTCTATGATAGGTTTTTAGAGTAACACCTTAGTGACACCAATTTAAGGAAAGTCGATGTTTTGAAATCATCTGAATAATAATTTAGTTCACCTATCTATTACTGAATTATGTGCTTATTATTTATAAAAATAAAATAAACGTCTAAGCATTGAGTCCGTAATTGTACAACACAAATCAACCCACGCCTTTGCCCTAGGCTTTAGACATAGGGCCGGCGGACAGGTGGAAAGCAAATCATAGCCTATTATAATACAGATACCCATTTCATTACTATGCATATCCGGTTACTATTAATTTTTAAAAAATAAGCGTGCTATTTTTTTTTTTTTGCAATTGTAGTCAAGAAATTAATTCCAAGTCAAGAAAGAAGTAAAACCAAATTATTTTTTAGATAAATATATTCATACATATACATAATTTGCATGAATGGGTAATGAGTTAAACACTGAGCGTATTTTTTTATCAATAATTAATTTAAAATAAAATTCCC